ATTATGTGCCAAATACACTTAGAAATTTATCTAATAGAGAACTTCCTTATCAACATTATGTTTTATTTGATGTAGAAATTATAAATGGAGTAATTAATATCGCATTATATGATTCAAGTTATGGCTCAAAGCTTAATGGCAATGAAATTAAATATCAAATGGAAAATGAATTAGGTCAGATTAACTACAGAACAAATGCATTGATGACTCAAGCATCAAGGGGCAACGATAGTGTTAATTGTGGTAAATATGTGATGATGTATATTTTATTTATAGCAAATATTGAAAGAGATAATTCGCAAGAAAGTGATTTTGTAATGGTAAGTCATGATAATTTAAGTTCAATGTCAAATTTGCAAAAATTAAGAGATGTGAGAGACATTTTATTTACAAGATTTCAAGAGATGATGGATTTAGATAATCAAGCAAACATTAGGAAAGAAGAGTTAATATTATCTGTTAGCAGCTTAAGCTCCGAAGATGAATTTGAAGTTTTAGATTTTAATAGTGATAGTAGTGAAAATGACTCTGAGTTTAGTATAGAAAACATTAGACAAAATCTTGATCAATTAGAACGGTTTAACTTAATTGCCTTAAGAGAAATTGCAAAAGATATTAATCAAATTTTTAATTCAAGAATCAATAATCTCTCTTATGTTGATAAAGTTAAAAATAGCGCCAGAGGAAGTGGAGGTGTGGGGAAATAGAGTTAATCTATTTTAGTACAGATTTAAATTCTAACTAATATTATCTAATTCCTTTTTACTGATAACACCTTTCCTAAGTATTCTATATTTTTCATTATTAGTAAATTCAATAATGGTTGAAGCAGTTAAACAATTATCACTTAATTCTCTATTGTCTTTGATAATTAAATTTACTTTATTTTCAAACTCTTTAATAATTTCATCTAAAGAGTTAATATTTTTTTGATTAGAAATATTTGCACTTGTTGCAATAATTGGTTTATTTATAGATTGGCAAACAGATTGTATTAATTTGTTTTTTGGAACTCTAATAGCAACTTTTTGATTATTCTTTAAAAGATTAGGAAGATTTTTATGAGTATTTTTAATCCTAGATACTAAGGTTAGAGCTCCTGGCCAGAATTTGTCTGCTAAATTTAATTCTTTCTTATAAAAATTAGCATATAATCTAGCCATTTTTATATTAGACATAAACATGGGTAATGTTTTATCTAAAGCTCTCTGCTTTATTTTATAAATTTTTTGTATTGCTTCTATATTTGTTGCGTCGCATGATAAGGCATAAATTGTATCTGTAGGAATACAAATAA